TAATTATAATAATAATAATAATAATAATAATAATGATAATTATAACACGGTTCAACTATAGTCTCGTTATTCATTAAATCTGTTTCCCACAGATTTACTTTTCCAATTGAATCTTTTCAAAATGATTAGAGGTTGGACATTTTGTGCGGAGTGATACTCCTGCTCGATAGCTTTCCCTGTATCCCATATGTTAATGTCAGGGACCGCAGGTGGTTGACGGGGACTGCTGCTTCCTTGCATGGTGGAGTTGAATGCTTGTATCTTCTCCACTATCTCGCCTAGAAAGTCATACATGTCCACCATATCCTCTCGCCCTACTTCAGCTCTACTCGTAGGAACCTCTCCACCTGCTTCCTCATCATCTGAAGCAGGAACTGTGGTAACTGGATCATTCCCACTTATGGAGGGAGCTGAGTCTGCTGGATCTACTCCTTCTTCATCCGGTTCTAGTCTACCAACATAGGCCGGGTTCCGTACTAGAATAGGAACACGGTTCATCTTCTTCTATCTCGTCCGAAAGGGTTCTCTCTGTATGCTGTGTGTGCACTATATGTAGCACAGGTCCCAAGACGGCTATGTGCAGTGTGACTTGTGTCTACTCTGCAGCGGTCCAGGATGTACTGATCCATCTGGCTTCCTGTTGGATTCAAGGGACTGTTCACTCATATATCAAACAATCCGGAATACAACATGGTCGAGAGTGGTTCTCAAAGAGAATTGGTAAACATTTTGATATATAATTCAATAATTAAGAAATGAAACATTTTGCAATATTATTTTTATTTTATTAGTTCTTTGTAACTTCGCATAAAGGGAAGGAAGGAAGGGGGTTTTCATTTTCAAAATAGTTTTTACTTCATAAATTAAATTAAATATAGGATTCCAGTTATGTATATTTTCTTTAAAAATCTTCACTTTTTGTAAACAAGAAATAATTTTTAGGGGAAATGAATAATATTTTTGGTATATTGTATCAAAAAGGGTGAAAAAAGTTGCCTTTTAATATATAATTTTTCAGTTTTTACACAAAAGTTGATTTATTTTTTACAATTCAACGAATAAACCCCAGAAAATTTCAGCAAATATAACCTCCGGGGGAAAATCGGTTTTAAAAAGTGGGGGGGATTATTTTCGAGAAAATTTACACCCCTGGAGTACATTTTTGTTCATATGTTTGTATTTATGAATTTATATTTTTGCACTTTGTTAATTCAATGGGGCGTCAATTTAGTCTATTCATACAAACATAAAATATACAATACATTCATTCTTTCATTTTCTATTCTTTTAATTATAAAATAAACAAATAAAAATTGAAAAAAAAACTTTTCCATATGTTATCATAACAACTGGAACAAGCAGCTACTAGTACTATAAAACCAAATTAAAATATTTCTATTCCGCTCTAATATAGATGAAGTGAAAGGTCAAATTTATTCGAAATTAATGGTACGACATCCTATTTATTTGGTGCAATGTGAAAATTTACAGCATTTTTTATTTTAGAATAGAATAGAGATGTAAGAAGATACGTTATGATTAAAAACATGTTGGATTTTAATAAAAAATTTAAATTATTTAAATTTGACGTGACACAACATACAGTACATTTACATTAATATTTATCTTAAGTAAATTCCACGTAAGATTGAAATGTTAAATGTTTTTTTTTATCCTAATTCCTTTTTGTTTAAGAGCTAATGGGAAGAACAAAAACGTTTTGAATTTCTAATATGTAAATATGTTACCAAATAAATTAATAATTAAATTAAAATAAATGTATATACATACAGTGTACGTACACTATACACTAGCTGTACAACTAGGATAATGTATTTAAATGTATATACATACAGTTTATGTACACTATACACTAGCTGTACAACTAGGATAATGTATTTAAATGTATATACATACAGTGTACGTATACACTATACACTAGCTGTACAACTAGGATAATGTATTTGAATATATATACATACAGTTTATGTACACTATACACTAGCTGTACACCTAGGATAATGTATTTGAATGTATATACATTCAGTGTACGTACACTATACACTAGCTGTACAACTAGGATAATGTATTTGAATGTATATACATACAGTGTACGTACACTTTACACTAGCTGTACAATTAGGATAATGTATTTGAATGTATATACATACAGTTTACGTACACTATACACTAGCTGCACAACTAGGATAATGTATTTGAATGTATACACATACAGTTACGTACACTTTACACTAGCTGTACAATTAGGATAATGTATTTGAATGTATATACATACAGTTTACGTACACTATACACTAGCTGCACAACTAGGATAATGTATTTGAATGTATACGTACACTATACACTAGCTGTACAGCTGGGATAATGTATTTGAATGTATAGACATACAGTTTATGTACACTATACACTAGCTGTACAGCTGGGATAATGTATTTGAATGTATATACATACAGTTTACGTACACTATACACTAGCTGTACAGCTGGGATAATGTGTTTGAATGTATATACATACAGTTCATGTACACTATACACTAGCTGTATAGCTGAGATAATGTATTTGAATGTATAACAACATACAATCGTTCTAACACATGCTAATACAATATAATAAACATATCACATATCATATTTGAATGTATATACATACAGTGTACGTACACTATACACTAGCTAAACAACTAGGATAATGTATTTAAATGTATATACATACAGTGTACGTACACTATACACTAGCTGTACAACTAGGATAATGTATTTGAATGTATATACATACAGTTAACGTACACTATACACTAGCTGTACAACTAGGATAATGTATATGAATATATATACATACAGTTTACGTACACTATACACTAGCTGTACAACTAGGATAATGTATTTGAATATATATACATACAGTTTACGTACACTATACACTAGCTGTACAGCTGGGATAATGTATTTGAATGTATAGACATACAGTTTACGTACACTATACACTAGCTGTACAGCTGTGATAATGTATTTGAATGCATAACAACATACAATCGATCTAACACATGCTAATACAATATAATAAACATATCACATATCATACATCCATAGATTAAAAACTCACAGATTTTACAGGACACAGTGTTAAATATTTGTCTCGGCGTACTTGTACACAAGATTTGTTTGCAAAACACTTGAGGACTTATATTTTTTATTTTGTGTCTTAGATATTCTTTAAATAGTGATCTATGATATTTCTATTGTCGAATCTGTTAAGTCATTATTCTATGGTTCCATCCATGTGTTTAGTGTATGCATGTTTCAGATTAACTTTTTATCAGACAACAAGAGAGGGAAGCTCGAAACCAAATTATCATTTTACACACATTATTCTGCTCATGGTAATCTAATAACATTATATTTAACATCGAACATTTTTTCATCATACTAATCATTATCATATTGCCAAGTCAAATATCAACAATATTATTTTCCAGCATCAACTCATCTATTATGACGTCAAACCTTATAGAAATCCAACGTATGGACCCGCTACGTATAGCGTATTTTCCGGGAGAACATTTTTTATATTTTTGAAAAATTAAACGTTTTTGTAAAATATTGTAGCTTATCATTATCATTATCATAATTTCTATTTTTTTAAACATAACCTAGACATTAAAGGAGCAAAATTGTTTAATACGTACATTTTAGGTTTGGAAAAAATTCTTAAAAGTATAAAAAAGTTCTCCAGTAATGCTAATATGATTTCATAAAATTTCGTTTTACCATTTAAATTAAAGGATTTTATGAAAATTGTATTTACTTTACAATGATAATTTAATTTTTCAAAAATATAAAAAATGTTCTCCCGGAAAATACGTTCCATACGGTCCATACGTTGAATTTCTATAAGGTTTGACGCCCATTATCATATTGCCATACTACATAATTTCCTATTGTCACATTACATTAATTTCATATTGCCACCATAATTTCCTATTGTCACATTACATTAATTTCATATTGCCACCATAATTTCCTATTGTCACATTACATTAATTTCATATTGCCACCTAATATTATTATCATATTGCCAAATAAAATCTTTATCATATATTGCCATATCATTCCGCTTTTATATATATATATATATATATATATATATATATCATTCTGCTTTTTCCTTATTTTCCAACGTATCTCGATCCGGCCCCAAGAAAACTATCTATTAGAAAAAATATTTTTTAAAACTTTTGTTGTTTTTCACCAACAACGTTTAGGTTGAATTTTATACCTGAGGTGCTATCAGGGTACAAAATATTATTCCGGCAACCCCTTTTAAGAAAGCTCTAGTTTTACTTTCTAATTTTCCTCAAAAATATCGTAAAAATTTTAACATTCTCGTTTTAAGCTAATGATCAGAGCATATTCAAAATATTCTTTGAAAATTACATTTTTGTTTAATTGATTAATTGTTTTTTTTGTTCGACATACTAAATAATATATTAATGAAATACACATGGAAGAAAGTGACGAAAAATGAAAGGGGTTAAATAATAAATTAAAAAATTAATCAAGTCAAAAATTGGGATTTTGTGTATTTTTGTATAGTTGTAGGACGGTAGGTATTGATATTGTATAGTTGTNTTGACTTTTTCATCGGACAGTTTTGTAGCTGTTATACCATTCAAATAATATTATTGTAAGGAGAACGCATTTTTTGGAATATATTTACAATTAAATCAACTTTAAAGGGACCGTACACATAATTCACATTTTGACGAAAGACATTACCCTTAAACCATCATCTGATCAAGAATGAGTGAGATATCCACTTCTCTTTGAAAATGGTTAATATTTGCAATTGTAGTTTTTTTATGAAAGTGACTTGTGGATTTTCTGTTAACAGACACAATAAAGAAAATTTAAGCTAGAACGACGACATCTTCCTCATTATTGATGTATGAACTTATAAAGGAAAATTTGATCAAATATTTTTTATTTTCAGAAAAACATGATTAGGGAAAGATAAAGGGAAAGATAAAGGGAAAGATAAAGCTAATTATGAAAATCAAAATAATCTTCAAGCATGGGCTTCAAGCCAAACTCAAACCAAAGCATTAAAAGAAAGGAAAAATTGAAGAAAAATGGCGAAAGATGAGAAGTTATGAGAAAAAACGAAAAGAAAAATGGCGAAGCCTTCTCTAGATGATAAAAGAATCTACATCAGAAACTAATTCTATAGTTTAACATCCAATGAACCATATTCCAACTACATGGGCTCAATTGATCGTTGAAACCTGATCTACAACCAAATTGATTCTCGTACTAATCCCAGATCAATCAAATCTTTTCTCCCCTCCTGATTCCAGATCAAGTGGTTTCTCGAAATGACTCAAAATCGATCGAGTTGAACCTTCTCCCTCGATCCTAGATCAATCGTGTTAGCAATCAATCAAATTGATGAACATGAAACTTTTGATTATGAAGTCGATAATGGTTTGCAGTTTGTTCCTCATTCTTCTTTCTCTGCCTTCGGTTAACCCCTACCCTAATCCTCAGGTCTGTAAACACTAGTTTAACTCAGGAATAGCTTAAACAAATCGTATGACGATCAGGCCCAATTTTTTGGTTTTAGCTTTGGGAAAGCCATGCAATTTAATGTCCGGTCGGAATTTAAAAACGTTGCTTTAACTAATTTTTTATTAGTCAACTCACCAATTAAAAAGCCGCGAAATATTATACGATTTTTTTATTTTAAAGATGGTTGCCATTTAAGAAACATTTTTTTTGCGAGAAAAAAAATGGCTCAAAGTACCATGGAAGCTTTTTTACAACAAAATTCTTAGTTTTTGGTCGCTGATTTATCTTTTTATTTTAGAATAATAAGATTGAAAAATTTCGCGGATTTCCCTGTTTTATTTAAGGTGGGGGGAGTCTTCAGATCATGATTTGATGTATTTAGATAGATGAGGATACACCCTCTCCTCCCGTAATACTGGACGAGGAGGAGTATACTGAATATGAGTATGGACCTCTTGTAGAAGATGAACTCAAGGATATTCATAAGAAACTATTTGAGAGTAAGGTAAATTCTACACACTTCTTGTTTTTTAATTCATCTTTCATTTTCATTTTCATTGATAAGCAAAACTGTAAACTATGATTTGACTAGATCTTTAAGATACAATACAAGAGGGATTTGTATAAAAACATTATAAACCCATTTTATATCAATTTATTTATACCCCCTGTGTATGAACTAAATCTTGAAAAAAATGGAATCCGGGCAAAGCTCTTAATATCTATTTATCTCAGCCAGTATTAAAGAGAACTATATTTTAAAAAAGCAGGATTTGAAATAATACGTTTATTGGTTTAAGTATAATTTAATAAAGTCTTCACCTATATTCACATGTTAAGTTTAGGTACTTAAATACCATATGTTCTTCAAATAGTGTGTATCATATTATTCAAATATGATTGCAATATTATTCCATAAAAGGTATAATGTTGAATTTATAGATTAGAATTTAGGAACTAATCTCAGAATTAGTCAGGGACAATGATGGGGTTCGTATTTCCAAAGGAGTTTTTGTCACAAACTCTACTTTTTTAATCCCTATATCTTTGCTACCCAATGTCATAGACCTTTGATATTTCAAACATTGAATTCTGTTAGACCAAATAATCTAAGTTTGAAACATCAAAGGTTTACATCATCAGATTGTAAAGATATAGGGATTAGACAATTTGAGCTTGTGACAATAACTCAGTTCCTTTGAAAGATTTTTGGACTTTTTAAGACAACACGAACTACTGTGAAGTTACGGATTTTAGCATAGATCTTCTCTCAAGAAAAATTATAAAACTTTGGAACCCTTTCCTTTGTCAAAAACACTAAAATCAGTGTTCAGAATATTTTTGAAATCATTTCTACCGAATATCTGATATTTTTAAGTTTCTATAAAAAATATAATTCTTCGCAATATAAGGTTAGCATTTGCCTTTATTTATTCTCAATTTTGTAAAATTTCAATTTTATTTTCAAAAAAGTGTTTATTTGATTTCAATTAGATTTGTTGTATTTTAATACTATTTTCTTTTAAAGTACTAGAAAAATGCTGTTTCTATTAAAATCCTATTCTCTTAGAAAGTACACTGAGTTTGTTGTTCATTCTATTTTGATTCTATTTTGTTTAGAAAGTACTATAATTTTGTTTGTATATTCTATTCCAAGACTATTTTGTTTAGAAAGTACTATAATTTTGTTTGTATATTCTATTTATTAAGTACTATATAAAAATGTTGTTCAAGTTATTTCAATGTTTTCTCAGAAAATACGATAACTCTTGTTTATTCTATTTCAATTATATTTTTTTGGAAAGAACTATAATTCTGTTGTTCAATTTCAGTTCTATTTCTTGGAAAGTACTAAACGATTTTTTGAAAATTTATTTCAATTTTATTTTCTAAAAAATTGTATTTTGTCAGGAAATACTGGAGCAGCCCCCTGTACCCACCACCAGTAATAAACCTAACCTCTCCATATTAGGTGAATTATTAGCATCATCCTCTTCAGCTACGCATTATTACGCAAAGATACGCAGATATACGCACACAATGCACGATACACGCAATCTGAAAATGTACACACCCAAAACCAACACACTCTAGAAAATTTAAATAACAAAAGAATTTTAACCATACTGGGAGATACCCGGCTTCTCAAGAAGTGTCACTTTTTAGGATTTAGAGGAAAAATGATAGACAATGAAATATTTAAATTGTTTTGAAAATGAATTTTAAGTTAACAACACCCGCAAATATTTTTCTGTTTTATACACCTCAAAAGAATAATTCTAAGTGTCTCTCTTTTTATTTAGTGGCATGCCTTCTAAACAACTACCCTAAAAGCTCTTTTTGAAAGACTTACCCATTATTTGCCAGCAACATTTTTTTTTACAAAGTATCTTACTTTAGAAGAACGTATACGTGAGGATCCTGACTTCAATTTAGAGCCTGTTGGAGTTGAAATCTCCGTTGTTGTCTCTCACAGTCCTGAACCTGACCCGGAGCAAGACCAGGAGCTGAACCTGGACCAGGATCCAGGTGTAGAGAGGATACTGGAGCTACTCAACCTAGATCCTACGGAGACTAGTGTTAGTCTAGCAACCAAAACTGATTCAGATCCAACCCTGGTAAGTCAAAAGATTTGAAAAAATAAATAAAGAGAACTGATTACTCGGCCCAAACTAATAATTTACTCCTGTTATATTTGCAACCTAATATCGTAAACGTTAAAAGTTTAAATTCAGTTAGATCAAATAGTTATATTTTAAAATTTCAAAGGTTAACACTATCAGGTTGCAAGTATAGGCATTAGATGAAGGGTTGGGACGATTAATCAGTTCCCTCGGAAAGCTTCGGCTATAATTCTGAGAAATTTTTAAAAGTACAAATAATCAGAAATTAGATAAACTCTTTTTTTCACGAAACTATGGCTTTAATTTATTAGGAGTTTTAGTTACTTATCCGTCATGTTTATTAGTCTTCAATGTAGTAATTGAATTCAGGAATAAGGTTAATTTAATGCTGATGATTGTCAGTATTCAACTTCCAATCTTAAAACTAAGCATCATCTACCAATTTAGGCTTCTTGTTGACAACAACTCAGCCAACCTTGATTTCAACATTTCCATTTAACTCTTCTAAAGTTCGTTTACAGTGTTGGTAAAGATAAATAAGTTCAGAGAAAGGTCCAAGCTTTTATATTCTTAATCTGTTAATAACGCGCACAGTCGGAGGTTTTAGTGACCACTTTATATGATTCTTTTCTTATTTATTATAATAACCCCGGAATTAAAGTTAAATCCTTTGATTTAAAAGTTACGTCCAAGCGCTGGCCCAATCAAAAGGCTTAGCTTCTGGTTCCTATATTCTAAATGCTATTTAGGAAGCAGTTGAGAATCTAGGATTGATATTGAACTGGTGGCAGATCCTGCTTATACTCATAGCATCCCTTCTCCTTACATCTCTCTGCTGCTACTTCTCCGGGTGCTGCTTCCTGGTGGCAGATTGCTGCTCTGATCCATTCTGGGGCTGCTGCCCTTGCTGTAGAGGATGTGCAAGGTAGGTTCTGGGGCTGCTGTAAACGATGTGCAAGGTAGGTTCAGGGCTGCTGCCCTTGCTGTGAAGGATGTGCAAGGTAGGTTCTGGGGCTGCTTCCCTTGGTTTAAAGGATGTGCAAGGTAGGTCTAGGGCTGCTTCCCTTGCTGTAAAGGATGTGCAAGGTAGATCCGGGGCTGCTTCCCTTGCTGTAAAGGATGTGCAAGGTTTGTAGGACTCACATACGTTAATCTCACTAGTAGATGATGATTCATTTGTTGTACTGGTCCGCCTTGCATAAATAGTCTGTTTGTGTACTACTGTACAACTTGCTCTAGCTTCATCAAAGCCAGTTCGGTACTTTAATTTAATCAGAGTTTTCAGTGCGTTTCCCATCTAACCTATTTTTTGTAAATAAGCTTTCAAAAGTTGAATATTGCTTTTTGTAACAATATTGCATAGCTAAATTTTGTATAGTTTTAAAATACTATTGTATATAAACCACCCCGCGTATTTTTGTCCCTAATTGCGGTACATATGAAGACATAATTTTCGATTTCAACTATCGATCTGCAGAAGTCAGAACGTTTGTGTTGTAAATCATAAGATCAAGCATTGATCTTGAGATTTACAGATTAATACCTTTCAGTTCCCCACCTTGGATATCGACACAAAAGATGTTTAATCTGCTTTTCTCTTAAATCTTTGCTTTACTCTAAAAAAAAACCTATAGGTCTACAGATCGCCTTTTTTATCAAAAATAATTTATCTTTTAATTTTAGATTATTGAAACCCCCCTCTGGGGTTCCTGTGGAGAAAGAGAAGCGGAAAAAGGATCAGAGCAGCTACTCCTTAAACGAGAACCATACTGCTCCCAGGAGCAGCTTAGATAGAGCAGCAGTTCACAGGTATATAAATAGAACCATGCTGCTCCTAGGAGCAACTTAGATAGAGCAGCAGTATACAGGTATATAAATAGAACCATGCTGCTCCTAGGAGCAACTTAGATAGAGCAGCAGCACACAGGTATATCAGGAGAACCATAAAGCTCCAAGGAGCAGCTTAGATAGAGAAGCAGTTCACAGGTATATAAATAGAACCATACTGCACCTAGGAGCAACTTAGATAGAGCAGCAGTACACAGGTATATCAGCTGAACCATACAGCTCCAAGGAGCAGCAGTTCATGAGTTCATAAATTTCCACCTTAGATCAAATTGAGCTTTTCTGACAAAAGAGATAATCGTTTCAATCATTCAAGAGCAATTTTGGACGTTCAAATTGGATTAAAACATGTCTGAAACTGCAAATATTGCTAATTCTTTACAAGAATATCGGATCAAATTCAAGTATTTTCCTGATCCTGAATGTATTCCCGACTCTTGTTAACTATTTTAAATAAAGCATCAGTCCCTCAGATGGTTAATAGAATACAGAATATTTCAAGGTACGCAGGTTTAGATACAAAGATCAAAGAATCAGTAATCAAGTCTTACATTTCTATAGGCAACAAACTGTTTTTTCTTAAGAATTGGTTGAACCATAAAGTTTGAATTAGTTTTGCGTGAAAGGTCTAATAACCTTGACATATTTGCATAGATATTTGCACTGGACATTGCATCTGTTAAACCTGTGCAAATCTAACCTTATAATGTACGAATTTATGAGATGCCTATAGTCCAATAATTGTTTCCTTGAAAACTGATCTTAGCAGATTATTAAAAACTTTTCAAGTGTTTTTTTTGAGGAGGGGGGGTGATCCTTCAGTGGTAGGCAATTATATCAATACAATCAAGACCACTTTCTATTTTAATTTTGATGACATCAGGCTGTTAAACAGCATGGATACACATGAACGTAGAAGTCAAGAGAAGCTGTCAATTAAAAAGCTTCTCATTAATTAAATATAAACTTGCAATTGTAAATTGAAAATGCAATAATGTGATGTTTTCAAAATACACATTTTAACATGTCTTACGTAAATATATTCCGTCTTGCATTCAATATTTTAGAATGTGTTGCCTAGAAATTATCTTTTAACACATTTGTTTACAATTTGAGGATAAAAAGAAATATTCTAAATCAAGGAAGACAAGATTAAAAATTGCAAAAGTGTTATTTTGTTGTAAACAACATTTTACTTTATGATATCAAGATGCTATAAATATAATTCTAAATTGAAGTTTATGATCAGAAAAAAGATAAAAATCGATTTATAGATTTTAGAGCTTTTATAATTTTTAGTCTTTTAAGGCGAATTAACTTATTTTTGTTTTGATTGCAAAAAAACATCACAAAAAAAACACTTCTTTTTTCGCGTATTTTTTCATTTCCACTCATTAAAAAATTTAATTTAATTTTTATTTTTAATATACATATTTAAGAAATAAAGAACGAAGGTAAATATGAGAAACATAACTTGTAATAAGTAGTTTATTTTTTATTGTACGCCGTGTACCAGTACTCATACATACATAAATGAGTTATTTGTCAGTTATTTATGGGATTAACTGAAGTGCCCGGCGTTGCCCATGGAACTTAATCTCAAGAAAATACGAACTCCCACGTCGTAAATATTAATCTAAAGTAATGTCCCCTTTCTAATGTTACCCAGAGAGAGGGGGAGGAGTGCAATGCTACATTTTTTATTTTTGTTACATTTTTCTAAGTTGTCCGGCCATTAGGCAACATGATAACACAAATTTTCTAATGGTCTGCGTTAGATCTAAGGAATCTATAGAAGAAACCTGGGTGTTATATTCCTGGTACTGTTTCCCCCGAAAATGATGTTAGGCTGCCAATGAAGTTTCAAGAAATAATTTGATATAAAATATATCCAAAACAAGAATACCGATCTGATATTAATAATTTGATATAAAATATATCCAAAACAAGAATACCAATCTGATATTAATAATTTGATATAAAATATATCCAAAACAAGAATACCTAAAATATATCCAAAACAAGAATACCAATCTGATATTTTGTTTATTTGTTTACAGTGTTGTTCCGAGATTGGAACGAGGAAGTCAGCGTTCCATTGGTTCCACTGCAGGACGTAAAACAAATGATGCGGATGTAACACTCCTTGTAACAAATGGAACGGATGAAGGAGTGGATTCTTCAGCTAACCAGGAGACCCGGACATCTAGAACGAGTCGAGCGAGCAGAGCGAGTTCAGAAAGTATTAGAAATATACCCGCATCAGTTTACACAACTGAGGTAGAAAATGTGTTTGAAATTAACATTTTCAATGAAAAATAAAACTGAGCTATGACTATGAGATACAGAACAATGTCTGTTGGAAAAAATTGGGGTTTCCCTGGGGCCTAATTTAATAAACTGAACTACATACAACCGATTCAACCATTTATTTGAAGTGCTGATGAAGAGTTTATCTCTGAAGAACATATAAAAGTTTTAAATCAACGATTCAAGATACGTGGTTGAACCGTCTCTAGACTCTAGACCTGGTTCAGATTTAATAAATCCTTGTCCGCATTTAATTAATTTGAGTCGCGTTTCAAATCCGCCAAAAACTGGTTTAAATTGAGCGTTGGCTTGAATTTAAAGCATTGAATACAATTTTACGTGGAACCAACCATATTTGAGCCGCATCTTAAATTTAAGCCGCGGATCAAATTCTTTTAATTCGGCCTCTGGTCCCAGAACTTTAAAATTTTCTAGTTCTAGCATCTAAACCTGCTTTAACCCCAAAACCTTGGGGATTTTATAAGTTTACTTTTTTAACTCTGCATAAATGAAAATTGTTATTTTTGTTGGTACTATGTCAATATTCAATAATCATTATTTTTGTTGGTACTTTGTCAATAATCAATATTTTTGTTGGTACTTTGTCAATAATCAATATTTTTGTTGGTACTTTGTCAATAATAAATATTTTTGTTGGTACTTTGTCAATAATCAATATTTTTGTTGGTACTTTGTCAATAATCAATATTTTTGTTGGTACTTTGTCAATAATCAATATTTTTGTTGGTACTTTGTCACTAATCAATAATCATTATTTTGGGATCAAAATCAACAATCTAATTTTTCTTTCCAGGACACCCCACAACCCAGCCAGGGTTTGTCAGGCGTCAGAAACTATAGGTAAATCATGAATCAATTAATTTCAATCTTAAGGAACTTTAGGCATCATTTTCAGTGACCCTTCATTTGTAGAGTGGCATGTCCAACTCACAACTTGTCACTTAAAATACTCGATATTTTTGAGGTAACTTCAGAATAGTTGAGTTCCCACTGTACGCTAGCGTACATTTCGCTTTTACAAGAATTCGAACAATATTTAAGAGATATATATTTAAGTTATACATATATTACATTACACCTGTAAAGCTCCGAGTGGATAACTTTAACAGCTTGGGCCAGCTTCTAATTAAAATTCAAGGCGACATTATATAAAAATGATTCCGATGTCTTCTTATATATGAGTTTAACTGAATAAAAATTATACTTTCAATATTTCAAGTAAATTATTAGATAAGAAATGATTACTCACCTACAGCTCTAATTTTCCAATTTTTGAAACCTTTGCTATTGAAAACTATGAATGCTGCTAGTTTGAATAAGTAAAGTTTAAAACATAAAATGGTTATACTATCAAGTTGTAAATCTAAAGGAATTAGAAAATTGGAGACTGAGGCAAAAAGACGGTTTCTTAATGGATGTTTTTTCAACCTAATTTTTGTGTAGGCGTATGTCTCGAACAAGTACTCAGGAGTCTTCTCGAGGTTTGGGGAGAACACACAGCTTCCAGGAGTCCACCAAGGGGTTGGACCTCCTAGAGGAGTTTAATGGAAGATCAAGTAGTAGAAAATCCAGTAGAACTGAGGTTCAACACTCTGACCGACGAGGTCATAGCCGGAAACCTTCGTATTCTGGCGAACCGGCAAATAATTGGGTTTATGAAGACTCGTCCGGTTATTTTAGGTAGAACTTTTCAGATTTTTAAATTTTTATCTTTAGAATATTGGATGTATCTTTGCATCATGATGTTATAAACCTTTCATATCTTAAACTTTCACTATTTTTTAAAGCAGAATTCAAAGTTTGAAATATCAAAGGCCTCCGACATCAGGTTACAAAGATATAAACATAAAAAGTCTTAGTGGCAAGTAATCAGTTTTTTTACTTTTAGTTGGCTTACTAAGCTGGGTAAAAAGAAGCAGTACACTGTCTCAACTCCGCCAAAAAAGCAGAACGCTAGTCAGAACAACATCTATAGGAATCGTTTTTTTAAAAACTCATTTAGTCAATTTTTCAAATTTTTCAAAAACTGCAGATATAACAATCTGAAGGTTGAATTTTGATTTCTATCTTGAACATGATCAAGTTCATTTTTTTGCAGAACATCCTGTTTTTTCATTATTTAATTTAAACGATAAATTTAATTTTTGTTAAAAAAAATTGCTTATTAATTAGACAATCAAGATATCATCATATAGCTGAGTCAAGGAACTCTGCTGTTATACCGGTCAAGTTGACTAAACGATCAAGCACAGCCAGTAATTATAATATCAGGTAAATCAAAAGAAAAATTATTAATTTCTGTTCAGCATGCTATGCTTTTAGGTCATTTTGCTTGCCCCTTTTCTACAATGATAACCAGGAAACAATGGAATAGAAAGGCGACATTATGGCAATACTGTTGTCACTATAAGACACTTATTAAATCACTAATTTTGTTAATGGGTCTTTTTACACAGCACAGTGTTGTGTCTCATGCTTATTGGACTTTTTAAAGTTATAACTTGATTATAATGGTCGTCTTTCTATTTCCGAGTTTCCTGGTTATTACTGTAGTTACTTAAATGATGATTTTTTATTGTTTTCCATTAAACCAAAATTTTTGCGGTTTTTTATTGTGGATTCTCAAAAAACCATAAATGTCAACATTTTTTTACACAGACAAATTTTTCTATTTCGCCCAGCCATACCCTTTCCCGATTGGTAAAGCCATTTTCAAGTTTGTTTGGGGAAAAAACAGACATTATTCATACAGATGTGGAATGGAATCGAACAATTATCTTAAAAGAAATCATTTTTTAAGATTATGCACTCTCCACCTAAAACCCACTATTTCTTTGTTTAGAGTACTGCAGTTCACTGCATTATGCACTGAAAGCTTAGTTTAGGGTGTCTGTACAATGCATTTATGCATTGTTTAAGATTGTGAAAACATCATGGTCTCTCATTTTCAAACTTTAAATTCCTTAATAAAAAATTTCAACTAAAATAATTGAGTATTTGCCAAAAACTCAAAGTCACTAATCCCAATATCTTAACAAACTTAAATTATTTGATCTAACATAATTCTTAGTTTAAAATATTAAAGGTCTCAGACATTGGGTTGCCGAGATATAAAAATATAAAATTTGAATCAATTCCTTTAAATCTTACAATTCTACAGATACAAAAATAAAGAAAATTCCTTCAAGTTTCTTAAAAATGGAAAATGTTTTAAGTGTTGTTTAGTTTCAAATATTGATCCCAGAGATTTACTTCAACTTAACAAGGAATATATCTTTATTCATTTTAAATTTTTCATAAACGCAATATATCTTTTAGTTTTTTTTCTGACTGTCTATTTTTTAGACATACTTTGAAAGGATGTTTAATGTGCAGTCCAAAGTAACTGTATCATTTTACATACTAAATTTTACCAATGTATAATGTGATCCAAAGGTTATTAACCCTATGCGGTTTTTCTTTTATCATCCAATAAAATGAATAAATTGGTTGTTTTATCACTTTTATGAGTTAATGCATGTTTTATCTATTTATTTATAATTAGATTATAGTTCACGCTTGGATTTAAATCATTAAAAGGAGTGTTCGCCTATTTAAAAATATGCATATTACTCCGATTTTTCATAATCGGGATCGCACCTTAACCTCACTTAAAGATACACTTAAAGGCAAGAATCATTGATGCTTGCTATAAAAAATAATAAGAGTAGGTTTTTAGTTTTAAAAACCCCTGTTTTCTAGAAGATTTAGTTAAAATTGGGGTTTTTATGGAGTTATAAGAAAGTCAGATTTTTTAGTACAGTTGTATTTTGTTTTTCTAGAAAAGGAATTGAGTCTTTGTCACAAACTCTGGTTTTCTAATCCATATATCTTTGCAACCCAAAGTCGTAGCCCTTAGATATTTAAAATTGTGAATTCTTTTAGATGAATATTCTAAGTTTGAAATATCAAAAGTTTACAAAATCAGGTTGCGAAGATATCGCGATAGAAAATTTGAGTTTGTGGCAAAGACTCAATTCTTTAGTAAAAGTTGGGGCTTTAATGAAATGTTTTAAAAAAATCACATTCCATTTAAAAATTTAATTTTATACTTTTCTTGTAAATTTACATCTGTTTAGACCAACTAGGGTACGAAGTAGAAGCTATGGGTCTGAAAGCAGTGAAGAAGATTCGCCTATTTTGGAGTCAAAGTCAGGTCATACAAAAAAATATATTTGGTAATCAAAAAATAAAAATTAAAATTGGAGATCAAAAGGTAAATTTTCATCCTTTTAAAATTTTTTAACTCAAAATTTCAGCAATTAAAACCCTAATAATTGTTTTAATATGGAGTGGGGAGAAGAAAAAAACTTGATATTAATTCAAATTCATAAATAAAAAACGAATCAGTAATTTTGTCCAAATATGGGTTTTAGGGGTTGGGGGTGCAAAATCTTCAGGGTGCACACAATAAAATTGACGTGCTGACACCCCCCCGCCCCTCCATTTTTTCATATTTTTTGTTTTATAGTTTTTGAATACATGTATTGCATATAGATCCGATTCAATTATCCAACAACCTTATGTTATCATTTTTGGCAATGTGTTTTTCTAGGTTTTTCACTTATTTTTAATTTTTATTAATTTTTTTTATTTGCAGAGAGGCACCTAGCGTCACGTTTATCAACTAACTTGGCAGATTTGGAGCGAAGTAATCAAGCCAGAAACCGCTCTGGAACAGAATCAGGTAATCAATTATTTGAAATCAATAAAAAGTTAGGACAGTTGGATAAGGGTTTTTTAGCCCTCTCCTTAGCTTTCCTTTAGTTTTTATACTGTACTATACTATTGTACTTTAGTGTACTGTACTGCACTGAACTGTATTGTTCTGTCTAGGTGTTGAGAAGTACACATTACAGTTCCCTGATGAGAATTGTACTCTGCAGTACATTCAAAAATCTCTACTGGGCTCCAAAGAAACAACGTTGTAATAAATAATTTTGTACATTCTTAATTGTAAAGTATTTTAACGTGATAATTGACTACACAAGGAAGATACATCAGGAACCCAATATCTTTGTTTACTAAAAAGAGATTGATATTTTTTGAGAATTATAATCACAATTAAGCAAAGTCTTATTTATAATCTAACCTGAAAGTGTCGTAAAGTGAGTACCATAAAAGTGTGGAATGGGAAGACAATAGTTAAGCAATGAGTTTTGATGTTTTTATAAAGAAAAAAGGTTTTTCCTGCATAGCTTTAAAATCATTACGTGTAGCGGTCGTCTTCATATTCCATAGTTTTTTAAGTCCCACTGTAATTTTGTAAACTAAAAGATATGACTGTTCCTTGTGTATCTTTCATGATAGGAACTGACAAATTAGAAATCTCTAAATGTGTAAATATGCATAAAAAACTTTATTTTTGTTAATGGTTATAAAAGAATTTTAATCACTAGTCAATCAATTTCCATGTTTAAGATACAAATTATATATATTTTTTTACGAAACCAATTTACGTAGTAAAATAAATAATATTTCTATAACGTTTGTAAAGTTGTTTAACCCTACTTCATAATAAATTTTAATGCTAAAAAGTTTTCCTTCCGTGTACCGTCACGTGGATTTAACGGTTCTGTCAATATTCCAGAAAGCTGTGACTTTCGATCACAATTTCGCCCATTAAACATAATTTGTTAGCCTTTTTTTTCAAGTACTTTTTTGTTGGCATATGCATTTTGAATAAAATTGTATATAATAAACAAATCCGTAAAGTAAATGATTATTGAATTAAAGACCAAAACGCGTTTGATTTCAAATAGAAGAAACCTAATGCTGCTCACTCTGGTTAGTCCGGTGTGCCGTGGGACATATAAAACTGTGAAATAGGAAAGACGACTGTTAGACTCGGCAAAGTTGTAATTTTGAATGATCAGTCATCATCAATTACAAAATAAGATTGCTTGACAAGTCGTCTTCCTATTCCATGGTTGTTCGGATTCCTCTGTATATGCCATGATAATTTGTTGACTAAGTATAAAACTGAAAGTCGTCTTCATGAGATGTGTTGCGACATTCATTCGAGAACCTACTTTTGAGACACTAATGAGAACATTTTCAAAATATTATCTGAAATTGGAGATAAACTTTTTCCATTTATGAAATAAAACATAAATCTTAATTTTTAAGTAACGATGATGGAAACCTTAAAAGCGTTTGTTAAAGACGAATTTAATGTTTCATTTCTCGATTATCAATTAAAAATAGAACAATTTTACTTTATAATTCTGCTTTTTTGTTTTTTTATTATCTACAGTTAGCGTTATCTAACAAAGAATTGTTACTAACTCGTTACCTCTCAAATAACCTTTGTTACTTGAACGTTACCTCTCAAATAACCTTTGTTACTAACTCGTTACCTCTCAAATAATCTTTGTTACTTACTTGTTACCTCTCAAATAACATTTGTTACTAACTCTTTACCTTTCAAATAATCTTTGTTACTAACTCGTTACCTTTCAAATAACCTTTGTTACTAATTCGTTACCTCTCAAATAACCTTTGTTGCTAAATCGTTACCTCTCAAATAACCTTTGCTACTTGCTCGTTACCTCTCAAATAACCTTTGTTACTTGCTCGTTACCTCTCAAATAACCTTTTCTACTAACTCGTTACCTCTCAAATAACTTTTTTTACTTGCTCGTTACCTCTCAAATAACGTTTGCGCCTAACTCTTTACCTATCAAATAACCTTTGTTACTTGCTCGTTACCTGTAAAATAACCTTTGTTACTTACTTGTTACCTCTCAAATAACCTTTGTTACTTGCTCGTTACCTTTCAAATAACCTTTGTTACTTACTTGTTACCTCTCAAATAACATTTGTTACTTGCTCGTTACCTTTCAAATAACACTTTGTTACTTACTTGTTACCTCTCAAATAACCTTTGTTACTTGCTCGTTACCTTTCAAATAACCTTTGTTACTTACTTGTTACCTCTCAAATAACCTTTTTTACTTGCTCGTTACCTCTCAAATTGTTTTCCAAAAAATCAGATTTTTTGGCAAGCACTCAGTTCTTTTAGCGCTTCCTCTCTAAACTACAAGAACAAAAACAAATTTTAAATTGCCAAGTTTTATTAAATATGTATTCACTACAGTACATACATAGAAACTACAGTACATAATCTTCTTCTTTCTAATATTGGATCGATCCCACAGGGTGTCCCAATAAACATGAAATTATCTCAAGGGTTGGGTTGACTATGAGTTCTTATCAAAGATCTTCTTCTCCTAAACAAATGATAAATTTTATTGAAGCATCAAAAATTAATAAAGATTACTGTATAACCATGGACTAATTACTAAAAACTGCTGATGTAATCGAATCTAATACGTCCAGCTAGATAGGCCATACTCGTACCGACACGGAATGCATGGTTTGTTTCTACAGAAATATACCATCGTAATATCAAACTTCCCAAAGCATTTCGAAAAGAATTTAAGGTATTTAATAATTGTGTGATATCTCTTTAATTGTGATAATATCTCTACAATTGCGTGATATATCTAAAATTGTGAGATATCTCTAAATTGTAAATGCAATTTAGGACAAAACGTTCGTAATTTCAAAATATGCTTTTATTGGGTCGAAAGTATCAAAAAAAATTCGGGGTTTTTTATTGGTAATATGGCTATTAAGTACACAGTTTGAGATTAAAGGTTTTGCTATATTTATCTACATAAAGATAGGTTTCTTAGGCAACATTTTTATAATATATTTTAGCCATATTTTAGCCATATTTTCTATATTTTCTTATACCCTAAATAAGCCATACATCGAAAGAATTTATCAAATGTCGTCTTGACAATTTTTCAATGGGTTTTATACTATTTTACGTAAATCTAAGTATTTGCGAAAATAAATAAATAGCCATGAATATGCGGGAACAGTTTTAAAGAGCTCCATATAATCATTTAAATAAAAACTTAAATATCTGCTTCATTCCATTATCAGAAAGTGAAGAATACGACATTTGATGAATCCTTTCGATGAATGGCTTATTCAGGGTTTCACTGTATTGAAACTTGTTTCATAAACTTTTTTATCTTTGTCAAAATTTCTTCTTAAAATCGTCATATTTAAAGAAATGATGTGTGTATATTCACGTCAAAATGAAGTAAATCGAACGTAAGATTTAAATCTCATATGTTTTTAATTCTAACTCCTCTTATTTAATAGCTGTTAAGATCAACAGAATTGTTTTTTAATTTCTAATATGTGACCGGCTAATTTTGCTTTTCTTGTACTTTGGCGTGAAATCACAATTTAAGGAGCTATGACTACGAGATCGCAAAGTTGTACGCGCAATGTTACATAATTTTGACCCTGTACCTGTTAAAGCTGGCCCCAATGACCGGTAAGCGACTAGTATCCATCATCATCATCATCAGCATACTCTCGGCATCTCTAGCTCCTGCACTTAATCCTGGTGACCTATTGTCTGTACCACCAATAATAAAAGGGTTTCTAGAATCGGGCATGACCGGCTGCAGCTCGTGGCGGGCACCGATGACAACCTAATTACACAAAAGAAAAAATTGTCTGTTTCGCTTTAAACTTTAAATGGTAAACTTTAAAAGTTACACAAAACCAAGACATAAAACCATTCATAAAAATGTTGTATTGAAATTCAGTGTAAAAAATCTTTAATAAAGAAACAAAAAGTCTAAAATTGAAAAAAACTGTATACTTATGAAAAGATTTGAATTAATTCTGCAAAAAAAAATTGTACAAGTACAACAATGTCATCTATTACAACAATTCCCGCAGTACAAGTACTATGGTCGGCTTTTATTTTAAGACAATGAAGATAACTTTTTTATTTAAGTTTTTATTTATAACAATCCTTTTTCAAATAAAAAGCTTACAATTACATACGGAAAAGCTCTTTTTTGCAACCTCATTATTCCATGTTTATGTGTATCCATGCTGTTTGTAAAGCCTGGTAGAAATATAAATGTAAATCGAATGTTGTCTTCATTGTATTGATATATACGACGATATACCTGTGGTCTGGACTCCTGAGGTGTTCTAGGTTCATACCTTTCACCAATAACAAACTCGTCCTAAGCCATTTAATATAAAAATAAAGGAAAAAAAATCAAATAACAAGCAAAAAGTTATTAATACAGAAAAACAGAAAGAGAGTGGAGCTAAAGAAAGAAGAAACAGACAAACATGAAAAAATAAACAAAACACAACAAAAATGGAAACAGGAAAAACTGTGATATCGTAAACAGAAATATTTAGAAACTGAGAAAATAAAGAAATAAAGATACAAAGCAACACAAAAAATAAATATAAATAGAGAACACACAAGAAAACTATGATAAAAGAAATAAAGAATTGAGAAACATGAAAGAAAGAGAAATTGATAAACATATGAAGAAAGAGATATTGAGAAGTATATAAAGAAAGAGAAATTGAGAAACATATAAAGAAAGAGAAATTGAAAAACATATAAAGAAAGAGAAATTGAAAAACATATAAAGAAAGAGAAATTGAAAAACATATAAAGAAAGAGAAATTGAAAAACATATAAAAAAAGAAATTGAGAAACATATAAAGAAAGAGAAATTGAGAAACATATAAAGAAAGAGAAATTGAGAAACATATAAAGAAAGAGAAATTGAGAAGAATATAAAGAAAGAGAAATTGAGAAACATATTAAGAAAAAGAAATTGAGAAACATATAAAGAAAGAGAAATTGAGAAACATATTAAGAAAAAGAAATTGAGAAACATATAAAGAAAGAGAAATTGAGAAACATATAAAGAAAGAGAAATAAAAACAAAACAAAGAAATAAAGAAAATGAGAAAAAAGGCTGAAAATAAAAAAATTTATAAAAATGACCTTAGGTTCTGGTGGTGGTGGGTCATAGTTGAATCCACAAATAGGAATATGCTCCCTAACCCTGCAGGGATACAAAGTACATTAAATGAGAACAGTATAAATGAGAGAGGAAGCCAGATAAAAAAAAAAATAATGGTTGGCAACTTAAAATTCTCCAAAGTTATACCCAAAGAATGCAGAAATAACACTATTTTCAAAACTTGGATTAAAATGCGTCTGAAAAGTATATCTGTGTTCAGCAACCACTCCGAGAAAAATAATCACTTTTGATACAATTGTCCAAAATTCAAGAAAAATTAAATATTGAATAATATTAATAAGATACTTTTATTAAAAAGATAAAAAATATCATAAGATGCTTTCATAAAAAAATGTTCTAAAGTAAAGAGTAATGAAATAAAGCGTTATAACATTTTCTTTAAACTTTTCCATTTGTTGATTTCTATTTTCAGAATAAAATAGCATTCTTCTAATTTATTTACTGCTTCTTTACTTTAAAAGCAAAACCATAAATTCTATGGAGAAACCACCAAGAATTGAAAATATACAGTCTAGTATTCAGGGTTTCAATATTTCAGGCATAAATGAATATTTTTTTTGAGAGGGGGGGGGGTGTGAGTTTAAAACTTGCTAGGTCATAAAATGAATATGTTTTTTAGCAATTGGAACAATAAAGCATGAAAAACGTTGAATCCTGGAGGAGAGGGGGATATACAGGCTTTAAGATAGATGGCGGTAAAAATTTTGTTATTAAAATAATATCTTCTAAATCTTACTTGCAGAAATCTGTAGCACTGCATGTACCAGACAAACAGGGATCAACACAGTAATAATCCTGATAAATAAATTATACAGTGGACACCAGAAAACTTCCATCAAACTCTAATTTCCTGATTTGATATTTCAAACTATGATTAATTGATTTCGCAGATTTTATAGTTTGGAATCTCAAAGATAATATGACATTAGATTGAAAATACCTAAGAAAATCAGATTTTTAGGTTTAAAGGTTTACGCCATCAGGTTAAAAAAAGGTGAGACTGAAAGAATACATTTTGGAAATCCGGAGACTAGTAGTTTTCGATAAAAAATAATAGCTACTTAAAAAATTGGGCTTGTCTGTCTGTAACCAATAAACTTCAAAACGGCTAAACCGGGTCCAAATTTTTGTGTCTTCTCACTGTTTGATGGACATTTAAAATTGAAAAAAATTGTCTGAAACTTTTTTTTCTATCAACAGAAAATCCTTAAAATCCGAAAGCCAAGTATCCCATATTTGTGGGACACCCTGTTGAGTTTACCTGGCAAGCTGTTAAAGAACTACAATCAGCATCAACAATGCATTCTCCTCTGTAACACCCTGTACAGGAAAGAAATACAGTGATAACCAGAAAACTCTGCAATAGGAAGACGACTTTTAGCCTCAAGTTATGACTTCAAATAGTCCAATGAACCTGAGACACAGCAATTGTAAAGTGTAAACAGACTGATTTCACTTTAAAAACGCCTAGAAATATTATTTGCTTTGTAACAACATCAAATACACTTAAAATTAATGATATAAAGTAGTCTTCCTATTTCAGAGTTTTCTGGTTATCACTGCATGAAAAACTTCATCTAATTTAAAAGCATTGTTCACAAAATAAAATAAACGGATAAAACCCCTAACTTTTGTAACATCTACTTTTTTACTCTACAGAGGTTTGGTCCATCACCATCACCGAATTTTAAATCTACTTGAACCCTAATGGATCCTATAAATTCCTTATAAAGTAAATACTAGAGGTTTGGTCAGAACTGCAACATACATAAATTATATTTCTGAAGTCCAGAATTTTCAAACATGTTTGTCAAAATATTTGGAGGTGGTTTCCCAGAAAAAAAAACTTTTCTTCAAAAAATTTTAAATTAAAGAAAAACTGTCCAATTATCCAACATGATAGTTTAAGCTGTTGAATCAAATAATCATAAAGTTTTAAAAATGATTATTCTTCTTGATAATGTTGACCCTCAGAAACATGCTCATCGTATTTATATAAATAAGTAAATTCTCTTTTTTTTTGTTTGTTTGTATGTCCGATCTCCTTGACCAATTTGACTCAAAATTTAATCTGGAACTCGTTAGATTTATGGAAATATTGGTTCACAAGTTCTAACTGAAGTAAGCATAGATAAAGATAGATTGTGCATAGGACGACATTTTTCATATTGAAAGATATAAATGTACATGAGATGTTTTAAAGATATTCCTATTATATAGATTAACTAGGTCGGTTGTGAACATTCGCTGTTCTTATGTCATTGAGTACTTGTGGTGTACATGAGTTCTGTAGAGAAAAATTTAAGTTAGTTTATTCCTTCTCATGTCCTTCTTCAGATCTTGTCAATATGATATATTGATCAGTGAAATATTGTTGTTCAAATAGTTCCATTCCCGGAGTTATTTTACACTTATTCTATGAAATCCATTAAAACACCAAACCACCCCGCTTATCATTGAAGTACACTTTAACCCCTAGAAGTATGAGTTCGCGGACTGTACAATTCTTGGTGATTTTGCGTACATAAACTATCTATGTTTATTTATTTAACCATGGGAGTAAGTTAGATTGTATATGGGTTCCCAAGCTAGTTTTAAAAACTGCGAAAGTAGAAAATAAAATGATCAATGTATGAATTATAAAATACATGTTTCTACAGACTTGTTTGTACAAATTAATTTAATAATAAAGTTCCTTGTTTGAACACTGCAACCCTTCCGTTCATAAATGTTTGCATAAAATAAAATTTCTGAAAACTTTTTTAAGGAAATTTAAAAATTTGGACATCAAATGACAATTTTTTTGTTAAAAAATAATGTTAAACTATCAGAGGCCGAATTTAAAGAATTTAAGCCGCGTTAAAAATTTGAGACGCGGCTCAAACATGGTTGGTTACCTCTGAAATTGTATTAATGTTTTGGGATTTGAGCCAGCGCTCAATTGGAACAAGATTTTGGCGGTTCAATGACGCGGTTTAAATTCTTTTAATTTGGCTTTAGAACGCGAAGACCTCATCAAAACATGATTTGTTCAAAAATATCTTATGATTTTATTTTCGAACAATATCAATATCAAATTCAATTCCATATCAGCCTAACCGCCTTTCATTTTTCGCGAACACTCCCTTTAATGACCAAGGTTGGAGTCATTAATGACCTAGGTTGGAGTCATTAATGACCTAGGTTGGAGTCATTAATGACCTAGGTTGGAGTCATTAATGACCTAGGTTGACCAAGTCATTAAACAATTAACAATATTTACCTCAAAATTGACCCAGGCTGATAAAGACCTAGGTTGACTTAGGAATTAATTCAGGTTGACCTAATCAATGACCTAGGTTGACATCATCAATCTAGATTGATTTCATCAATGATCTAGGATAACCTCATCAATAACTAAGTTCATCTATGACCAAGGTTGACCTCATCAATAACTAAGGTCAGCTATGACCAAGGTTGACTCATCAATAACACAGATTGAACTTATCAATGACCCAGGTTGACCTCATCAATGTCAAAGGTTGATCTCATTAATGACCTAGGATGACCTCATCAATGGCCAGGTATGACCTCATCAATGACCTAGGAAGACCTCATCAATGATACCTGTATTCCCATTCCCTACAGTTCCAGCAGGACACTCACAGCTGAATGAATCTCCTTGAAGAATACAAACTGCTCCCTCACCACAGGGATTAGGGACACAAGGATCCGGTTTCTCTACACATCTTCTCTCAGAACAGATATACCCAAACCTGCAATCCGGATCCACTAGACACTCAGGCCCGCATCCTGATATATACATGGATATAGGATACAAACTTACAATCCGGATACACTAGACACTCAGGCCCGCATCCTGATACATACATGTATATTGGATACAATCTTGATACACAGTAACGCAAGACACTAAGACAACCAACACATATCCTGATATTTATATTATACAATACAGGAAAATAGATATACAATGCTTTAAGCTGTAAAATACAATTAAGCTGATAAAACTATTGTTGAAAATAGTGGAAAAGGAACGAATGATTGTTGTCTCTCTATATTTAAATCTTATTGGTTAAATTCATTCAAACTGTTCTTTAAACATTCCTTAGATGCTCACCTAACCTAGATACTATACTGTTATACAACGTGTCCTTAATTAGTATTTAGGATTTAAAGAATTCCAAATTAAAGATTAGAAGTTTCTATTCAATAAATCTAGAAATCAAGAGTTTCTTTTTAAAGGGACTGTACACGGTGTTTAAAGGGACTGTACAGAGTATTTAAAGGGACTGTAGACGGTGTTTAAAGGGACTGTAGACGGTGTTTAGAGGGACTGTACACGGTGTTTAAAGGGACTGTAGACAGTATTTAAAGGGACTGTAGACGGTGTTTAAAGGGACTGTAGACGGTGTTTAAAGGGACTGTACACGGTGTTTAAAGGGACTGTACACGGTGTTTTAAGGGACTGTAGACGGTGTTTAAAGGGATCCTTCATAAATATAGTGGCAAGTTCGATTTACAACGGTAATCATTGAATCTTATTCTAAGTGACAATCAGAAATATATTGTCGTTTTTCTTTCAGAAAAGAGCTGAATTCTGACAATTTTTTTTCCCCAGCAGCATAAACCTATATATGTCACTTATAAAGAAAATTAATAATTTTAAACGATCAGGTTTTAGCTGGGACAATAATTTTAAAGGGTACTGTTGTGAATCGGACATGCCACTCTATAATTGAAGGTAAACTTGAAATTACGTTCCTTTAACATTTACAGTTTTAGAGAAAAAAAATTTTTTTTTGCGTAATTTAGCAAAAGACTAAAATTTTAAGTTCAGACGACAAGTTTCAAGTTTTCTGTTACGATGAAAACTGCAGTCCAGGAATGTTGCAAAGCTTGAACATGTTTAATATTTATCACCTGTGATCGTATCAGGCTTAGGAATGAGGCCAGGGATACAGGTACAGATTGGATTTCCATCTTGGTTCGGAGTACACGTGGTTCCAGGCCCACATGGAGACGGGTTGCAAGGATCTGGTTTCTCCACACATCTAGATTCGCTGCAGATAAATCCGTACTTACAGTCTGGATCAACTACACATTCAGGTCCACAGCCGGTAATAGTATCAGGTTTAGGGATCAGTCCAGGGAGACAGGTACAGATGGGGTTTCCATCCCTGTTCGGAGTACACGTGGTTCCAGGACCACACGGAGAAGGGTTGCAAGGATCTCTAACGCTACATTTTATCTCCGGAGTAGGATCTGGAACCAGGCCTTCAGGACACTTGCAGGTAGGTTTTCCTTCCTGGGGTATACACATGGAGCCAGAACCACAGGGGTTGGGATCACAGGGGTTGGGAACCTTACAACCCTGCTGGGGAGTTGGATTAGGAACCAAACCTGGGGGACATTTGCATTCAGGTTCACCTTCCTGGGGGATACACATAGAACCTGGACCACAGGGGTTAGGATCACAAGGATTCCTGGGAGGTTCATAGCGGGGGATAGGGCTCTCAGTAGGAGGAGGAGGAGGGTTGGATCCTACACAAGTATTAGCACATCCATCAAAACAACAGAGTCCCCAGTTTGGACAATCTAGATCTGATACTCCTACAGACCAGCAGGTACTGAACCGTCCTAGACAAGATGTCAGGGGTAGAGGAGAGGATGCTGGACAACTTCCTCCGACATGGGCAGGTCGTCGAGGAGGTTGGGTAGGTCTAGGGGCTGGCTGAGTTACTTGAACTTGAATGGACTGTTGGCGATCCTCAAATGGGTCTAGAGGAGGGATATAGCTAGGAGGTGGAGTTTGGATAGGTTGAGGGGGAGGAGGGATATAGCTAGGAGCAGGAGAAGTTGCTGGTTTAGGAGGAGGTGGAGGAGGTGGAGGAGGGAAGTAACTGTTCTGAGGTGGAGGTGGAGGATGTTGGAGTTTAACAGGAGTAGGTTGGAACTGAGGTTGCTGAATACTAGTAGCAGGGAGGATTTCTGATACACAGGTGTTAGCGCAACCATCATAGCAGCAGAGACCATGCCCAGGACAATCCGTATCCCGGACTCCAGGGGACCAACAGTTTGACCGGCGCCCTTGACAACTACCTTGAGGAGTCACAGCAGGACATTTAGGATCTTCTATAAAGTTTCTACCCTGGCTGCTTGATAGGGCTAGAACTATGATTAGAAATTTCATTTTTGGTTTCTTTTTGATTAGATTTTTTGTAAGCTTTTAAGTTTAAAATTTAGCTTGTTCAGCTGAGATTATTTGACTAGGACAGGCAGGACTTGCCTCTTCCTCGGCCTCTATCCAACTGATCTTGACAACGGTTTGTCTGAAAGACGAACTTGGAGTGTGTGGGTTGCAAAACTTGAACTTACTCTGGTTTAGGGCCTGAGCAGCAGAAGATTTGAACACCTGTTTTCAAACCTTGCAACACAATTAGCTAATCACTGTCAATAGTTAGAAGTCCCTGAGTGGACTAAACATCATCTCTATATTAAGAAAGGTTGTATGAGAAGAAAGGTTGAGGGAGGGCAACTGGAGTTCCCCCCAAACGTTAAACTCTCCAGAATCCAGTGACGTAAACGTTAGATTCTGACTCAACAGATAGGCTCGCAGTAGATACGTCATACAGAGATTAGTGTATTGGACAAACCAAAATAAATGTATGAGGGATGGGGTTTATATTCCAGTTATGTAGTTGTATTATCACGATATATCAAAGATGGCAGCATTTTAAACCTTCATTGTTCTTAGAACTTACTTTAATATTGAGTTTTATTTGTAATCGTTTAAATCACCAAAAGTATTAAAAAAATATGAAAAATATGTTTTTTTGGACCCATATCTAGTAGTCTTATACTATAGTACATTTAAGTTTGGGTATAATTAGTAGAAACTAAAAAGTCAACTAAGTATAGACTAGAGGTATCCGTTGCACAAGTTTTTATTTTAAAAGATGATTGCGAAGAAACCCCAATTTCTTGTTCTAAAAAAAGAAGACTATTTATAAGACTGTTTCGTTTTCCATAAATTACACAAATTCAGGCCCGTAGCGAGGGGGGCACTTCTCTTTTACCCCCGAAGATTGGGAGAAAATTGGCATAAAATCTAATTTTCGTTACCAATACTATGTTTAAAGGATTACTTTTTTCTTCAAATTAATGAAAAAACGACGTTTTCCGAAATAGGCTTGAACATTTTTATTTCTATCCTGTCTTGTGAAATGATATGTTTTAAATTAATTTAATTTTTGTATTATCTTTTTCCCTTCTTTTATTAGATTAATGATTTTCTAATGAACCATCGTACAGCAAAAAGTTACACGGAGAAAAATTTAAATTAGGTTTAGGAAAAGCTGTTTGTACTCATCCTCAAGCTCGCGATAAAACTGAAGATATTCATGCTTGAGCTTTTCTTGATCTTTACAGGCATTTGCATCCTTCACTTTCCCTGTATTGAAAATAAGTATTGGCTTTTGGCTATTTACTCTATTTATAGCTTTAAATGTGTGTCCAGCTTCCTGCATAATCCTGAAAAATCTATAAGCTTTTGTTGAAATCTAAGAATTTTGTGGTCGCTTTTGCTTATATGAGACTATGCAACATCTATATTCTTACAAAACAAAAATGAAGATATTGTTGTTAGAAAATAAGGATAAATACTTTTGATTCACATTTTTTGGAGCTTACAAATTTGGAGAACCGCAGTGAAAGCCAACTTATAAAGTAAAAAAAAATGTTGATATAAAATTAACATTTTAGATTTTTGTGGTAAAAAAACTTTAACGTCCATCTCTACTCTAAAACTGTAAATATGTGGTTTACTCTGCACTGATGGTCGTTTATCTGGCAGGGTGGTGTAGTGGCACACCCAATGCGTAGGAATTTACCTAATGTTTATTGTACTAATATGTAAACAACAGATTTTATTAAAAGGATAATCATCGTGTTTCTAATTGTAAACAAAAAATTTAAAAAATGGAGGTTTGTTACAAATAAATCATACAAAATTGTCTAATGTCTATCCTTGTTTTAGTATTCTTGGTAAACACATAAAAACATGCATAAATAATGATATTTACAGTTAAACAGTACCAGCCAAACATATATTATTAGTAAAACAGAGAGTTTCAACAAACATGAAAGGTTATCAAATGGATTTTCAACCTAATTCAAGGTGACTCTCAACGAGTCACTTTGCAAAGGAAACGGTTCATCTTGGTAACTTTACAAATATACAGCGGGACTCAAACTTTACAAATATACAGCGAGTCCCAAACTTTACAATATACAGCGGTACCCAAACTTTACAAATATACAGCGGGTCCCAAACTTTACAAATATACAGCGGGACCCAAACTTTACAATATACAGCGGGACCCAAACTTTACAAATATACAGCGGGACCCAAACTTTACAAATATACAGTGGGTCCCAAACTTTACAAATATACAGCGGGACCCAAACTTTACAATATACAGCAGGTCCCAAACTTTACAAATATACAGCGGGACCCAAACTTTACAAATATACAGCGGGTCCCAAACTTTACAAATATACAGCGGGACCCAAACTTTACAAATATACAGCGGGTCCCAAACTTCACAAATATACAGCGGGACCCAAGCTTTACAAATATACAGCGGGACCCAAACTTTACAAATATACAGCGGGACCCAAACTTTACAAATATACAGCGGGTCCCAAACAAACTCTATAATAAGAAGACCACTGCTAGACTAAAGATATGACTTTAAAGAGGCCAAAGAACATAATACAAGGAAACTGTGCAGTATACACAGGTCCATATCACATAATAAGTTGTATTTCAAGGTGATAGCAAGATTTTTTGCTTTTTAACAAATTTGCTTTAAAATGTTGTTTTTTTATATTTAACTTTGTAGGTCGTCCTTGCAAGTTGTATACAGTTTGGTACAATTTCATCTGTCACAATTCCACAATAAGTTGGAGCAATACAACACTGCAAATTAAAATATTAACATTTTGACACAAATCTAGTTTTAACACTATCAGAAAAGTCAATAATTTAGTATTTAAAATTTCCATGTAGATCTGCAAAAAGTATGTTTGGTTGGATAAGGGTTCATTACATTAGGATTTTTCAAATTTTAAACATATTACAGAGAATCACTTTCTTTGACTATATTTCAAACGTGAATTTTATGTATTATTATTTTTCAGTATTATAAATGGGATAAATTTTTAGACAAACACTCAAACATCTAATCTTTCAATTTTCCTGGCTAAATATGATAATGTTCGTTTTTACTTTTTATGGGTGGTTTGTTGAGTAATATTTCGCTTAGTGTCATGTTTATGTACTCAACCAACTCATTCACTAGTCCAGGGTTTTTTTTATTTTTTTTTATTTTGTATGTCCGATCAGAACTTAAGCACCCCATGACCGATTTGCCTCGAATTTTCATTGGGGAAGTCGGGTGAACAACAGGAATATTCTTAACTTGGTTTTGAGATTCTATGTTGAGTGGGTCGACTTTTACAGGAGATGGCGAAGGTGAAGCTGGATTCCAAATCTTATAAATAATGTTAGACAAAGTCTTTCTTCTCTAGCCATATTTTATTAGTTTCCTTGGCCATATTCTATTCTATATACCTCAGGCTGTTGAAGTAAGTAATTTCATTAAGTAACTCTAATTATCTAGCCTATTAGGAAGGTGCGTGATGTCTAATTCCATTCATCATATGGTATTAAGGTTGCCATATTAAATAAATAAACGGTGTTTATTTTGATAAACTTGTATATTTGTAAAAAAAGCATGTTTTTGGATTTTAGATTTTTTGAACGCCATGCTGTCTAATAATAGTCAGTGTACTAGTCAGTGAATCAAAGCTTGGAACAGGAAATGCAGTCTGTTGCACCTTTGTCAAGGGACCCCNCTCCCCGAATTATGATACAATAAAAGGTATTTCCCGAGCTTCTCTTCACAATTTTAAAGATTTAACATCTACAATTAAGTTCGGTTTCCGGGGAGAAGGGGAGGAGGGGGTGGACACCTAAAGGGAGTGGTCACGAAAAACAAAAGAGGGTTTAAAAATAGGATGAACTATAAGTAAAGCACTGAATTGTTACTCTTAAAAAGGATCAGTTAGAATTTCACAGAAAGTAAAAAAGCTAATTTTGAGATGCAAAAATGTGGGGGGGGGGGAATGCACTTTCCCCTTTCTGCTTTTTAACAACCTATTCTCGTAATATTTGACCTTTTTTATGATTTAATTAATCAAATGAATGTTTTTTCCTAACTCTTGTAATAAAAATGCTTTATAGGTTATAAAATACCAGTCACGACATTATTCTTGAAATTGGTGTACGGTGTACCCTTACCCAGGGTCTCCACTCTCCAGCCCTCATTCTTCACACGATGGGGG